TATGTCACTTCCCATGCTGAGCCTTCCACTGCCAGAGGAAGAGCTGGTGCTGGATCTGGATCTGAGTGCCATAGCAAGGGAAATTCTGGGGAAGGAGGGGGAACCAGCTGAGTTTGTGCTTGACACCCCTTGAGTTTCCCTTCCAGCCAGGTCTCCTTCTGCAGAAGGCACTTCAGAGGAGTTTGATGTAGAGGTGGAGGAAAGCAGCTCAGCTGAGTCCACTCCTCTTGCTGTGCCTCTGCCTGCTGAGGAGGGGGAAAGTGCACCTGCGTCCCAGAAGCGAGCAGGTAGTGTGGTCTGGGATCATTTTGAGCTGACAAATGATCCCATGTACGCTATCTGCCTGCACTGCCAAGCCAAAACCAGCCACAGCAAGGGAACCAGTCAAAACCAGCCAGGGCAAGGGAACAAAACATCTGCGAGGGGCCAGCAGGGGAGATTATGCTTAGGGGCAACCCACATGGGTTCATTAGGGGCAGGTCCTGTCAGACCACTCCGGTTGCCTTTTACGATCAGGTCACAAAATCCTTGGACACAGGTATCACGGTGGACATAGTCTTTCTGGACTTCAGGAAGGCCTTCGACACTGTCTCTCACCCCATTCTCATTAAAAAAACTAGGCGATCGTGGCATTGATGCCTACACAGTCAGATGGGTCACAAATTGGCTGGAGGGCTGCACCCAGAGAGTGGTGGTTGTTACCAAATTTGCCCATTACTTTGGGGTGTGCTCATTTATTAGGGATAGTTTCTAGGGTCTTGGTGATTCTGTCAATGTGCTGCTTGTGTTACTATACGGAGCTGTATCGCTCCCTTCTGCAAGCCCTCACCCCCAGTGGAGCTATCTTGCAGGACTCAGTCTCAATGGGCTGGGTTCCTCCAGTCACCAAATCAGTCATACACACAAACACACACAAATTAATGTGACACGCCTGACCTGGCCGGGCTGATCAGCATGGACAGGCTGACACCCTCATATGCCAAGAATCAGTTCATAAGAGCAACAATAAAATGCAGTCAGACACAAGCACACAGGTAAACAGAATCCCTCTGAATCCGGCTGGGTGTCCAGCTGACACCCTCATGGGCCAGCATTCAGTTCATAAGGGCACGTCTGAGTCAAACTGGGTCAATCAGCCTATACAAGCTGATCCCCTTATGTGTTTCAAACTCAGCACGTCCCAATCTTTGGCCTCTTGATGAGCAGACCCCACAATAATTTGGGCTTCACAGGGATCTTTAGCATAGGTAAAAGAAGCGTTGCTGCAGAGCACGGGAAGAAAGAGAAGCAGAGAAGGAAAAATATACACAACTACTACCAGTTTGACTATAAAAGTTATTTATTGCTAAGCATATGAAATATATAATAGTACTAGTAGTAATAGACATGCAAAAGAAAAACAAACACCAACAATGACAATACTACCCTGGTTTCACTAAGTATTTGGGGAAACTTAGCTCAAGCTTAACTGATACAGTTCAGGTTCAGAAGTTTATGCCTAGAAAGAAGACAGAGAACGCTGGGATCTCACCTAGTCCACGGTACTCAGGCTGCAAAGCTGACAGGCACAGTCCGTAGCACAATCCTTGAAGAGAGAGACGATCTGTCTCAAGAACGACAGGGAACGTCCCAAGAACGACAGGGGATGGTGTCAGCACAGGGGTTTTCTTCTTCTCCTTCTTTCCTCCTGCTTATACTTCTTTTCCTTCCTTTTCCTCTTCCTCTTCCAGCAGCACACACATTTACAGATTTTTATACCCTCAGTTCAGCTGCTTCGAAGCACCCTCAGTAGTGTAAATCATTGTCTTTTCTATTGACAAGGGGTTATCTGGTTTGGACCATCTCAGGAAACTGATTGATAATCAGGAAACACTTAAGATTAGGGAGTAACCCAAATACTTGGGAGCCAGCTTGAAATTCCTATGGGTGGCAGATATACTGATGGGATATCTCATGGTTTCTTCAGGAACAATAGATAGCTTGCAGCATCAGGATTTTGGATTTTTACTTGTTGTGCACAAGCCTCAGCTTAGCATGACTTTTCCAGATCTTACTATAGTCTTTTAACAGACTTAAAACAATTATTGGGGTGCTCATAACCTTTTGTGGAGAGGACTCCCACCAGTCGTCTCGGGAAAGATATGACAACACCTGGGATTAGGGCTCCAGCAGGCTGGATGCTGTGATGAACCCTTAACCATTGTTCAAATGTTGCCCATACCCCCTCTGACTCGGTCTCTTGCCTCAGCATTCCCTAACCCGGCAACCGAGTTTTAGTCAATCAAGTTTAAATAGGCCTCCCATAGTGGGACCGGGGAATGTACGGCCCGAGATGCCTATTAAACTTAGAGCTGTGTGTGTGTGTCTGGGGGGGAAAAGTCCTTAGTAAATCCAGATTAGAACTGGTCTGATAAATGCTGAGCTGGGTGTGTGGGAATGTACAGCCCAAGACTGCTATTCAACTTTGTTTTTGCTTAGTTCGGGTTAGATGAGGTGGGTGGGGGGTGGGGGGGGGGGGGGGGAGTCCTTTGTGAGTCAGACAGACTGCATCCTGTGCCAGGGTTGCCCAAGAACACACAGCTGAGACGTAACATGGTTGACGGGTCATTTTCGACCTGGAGGGATGTGAGCAGTGGAGTCACCCAGGGCTTGGTCCTTGTGTCCGCACTGTTCAACATCTTTATCAGTGACTGGGACGAGGGGGTAAAAAGCACCTTGTTCAAATTTGCAGACGACATTAAGATGTGGGTAAAGGTGGGTATGCTAGAAGGGAGGAACAGGCTACAACTAGATCTGGACAGGTTACAGGGGTGGGTGGATGAGAATAATATGGGATTCAATACTGACAAGTACAAGGTGCTGCACCTAGGGAAAAAGAACCAGCAGCATACTTACAGGCTGGGGAACTCCCTTTCATCAGCACAGAGGCAGAAGAGGATCTTGGAGTCACTATTGATTCCAAAACGAACATGGGCCATCAATGTGAGGACACGGTCAGTAAGGCTAACCGCACCTTGTCATGCATCCACAGATGTATCACGAGCAGATCCAAGGAGGTGATCCTCCCCCTCTATGCGACATTGGTCAGGCCGCAGTTGGAGTACTGAGACCAGTTCTGGGTGCCGCACTTCAGGAGGGATGTGGACAGCATCGAGAGGGTCCAGAGAAGGGCCACTTGCATGATTAGGGGGCAGCAAGGCAGGCCCTATGAGCGGAGGCTACAGGACCTGAACCTGTTCAACCTCCACAGGAGAAGGCTGAGAGGGGATCTGGTGGCCATCTATAAACTTACCAGGGGGGAACAGCGGGGAATGGGAGAGGCCCTGTTCCCCCAAGCACTACCCAGAGTAACTAGGAATAAGGGCCGCAAGTTGATTGAGAGTAGGTTCAGGCTAGACATCAGGAGGCACTACTTCACAGTCAGGGCGGCCAGGATCTGGAACCAACTTCCAAGGGAAGTGGTGCTCTCTCCTACCCTGGAGGTCTTCAAAAGGAGGCTAGATAATCACATAGCTGGGGTCATTTGACCCCAGCATCCTTTCCTGCCCATGGCAGGGGGTCAGACTTGATTATCTGATTAGGTCCCTTCCGACCCTACCAACTATGAAACTATGAAACAACTATATAAGCACCACGGGGATGCTGATGCATCTCCGCAGGCACCACCCCCTTGCCCTTGCTCCTCCTCAGCCTGGCACCAGTGGGAACGTGCCCAAAGGGAAGTCCCCCACTCACTCCAAAGCCCCCATCCCCACAAAGCAGAAGCAGGCCACCCCGGACCAGTAGGGGAAAGGCGGACAGGAAGGGGGGCACATTCCAAAGGTGAGCAAGCTCGCCCAGAGAATTGGGGAGATGCTTGCTGTTGATGATCAGCCGTTCTCCCTAGACGAGTGGCCAGGGTTCAGGCAGCTCATGGTCTCATCATACCAAGTGCCCGCATGCACCACCTTCAGTAGGACAGTGGTGCCATCCCTGTATGAAGCATGATGGGGTACTTGAGGGAGGAGCTGCACAAGGCAGGTCCGTAGGTGGCCTTACACTTCACCTCGGACATCTGGAGCAGCCAGGATGGAGATCATGCCTACCTTTCCTTCACAGGGCACTGGTGTGGCCAGGGGCTCTCTTTCAAGCCAAGGTGCTGGATGAGTCCCACACAGCAGCAGAGATCATGGGGGCCATGAACTGCTTGGTGCAGGGGTGGCTTGCTGGGCAGGGTCAGCTCACCCACAGGTTCACGGTCACTGACAATTGGGCCAATATGGTCAAAGCGGTCCTTGACGCCAACTTTGTTGGCATCCACTGTGTGGCACACAAGTTGCACCTTGTTGTCAGGGACGCCTTGGAGGGGGACAGGGCTGCTGGTGGTGGCACCGGCACCACCAGCCAGCTCATTTCAAAATGCAGGAAGGTGGCAGGCTACTTCCACTGGAGCATCCGGGTGGGAGCAAGATGCTGTGGGATAAACAAAAAGAGCTGAACATCCCACAATGCAAAATCATGCAGGATGTGGAGACTTGGTGGAACTCCACATACCTGATGCTCGAGAGGCTGGTGGAGCAACAGAAGGCCATCCATAAGATGGCCTTGCTCAGGGAGATCAGGCTCAGAGAGCTGCTCCCTGAACAGAGCTGAGTGGGATACCATCTCCCAGATCTTGGTGATCCTCAAGCCCTTCCTTGAGGCCACCAAGAGCCTCAGCGCTGCTGATGCCCTCCTTAGCCAGGTGATCCCCTTAGTGAGGGAACTTCAGAGCCAAATGGAGAGCTTCCAGGGAATCCTTTCCTAGGAAGACTTTCAACTCAGGGTGGAGCCACCCTAGTTCCTCATTTATGCTTCCCATCTGCTTATCCTTCTACCCCCACAACCCAAATTTTCATATATACCTGTTTCATAACAGGTTTATTCCTCTAACTAGTAGTTGCATAGTTATTTTTTGAGCTCTGCTGAAATGCTTAATAAAGTAGTCCTTTCTTTTTTTTTTATTGATTATCTTGCCCAGCTTTTTTTTTTAATTGATGATCTTGCCCAGCCTATTGAATTCAATGCAGAGCTTTCATTTGCAATCATGTGTTTGTTGTGCCAGCAGAGATCTGGCTTGGGTACTTTGGCTGGGTCAAAGTGACTTGAGAGGAAGAGGCAGTCAGCACTTCCTTAGAGGTTATTAAGCATCCAATCCATCAGCCCACAACGAGTTATGTTTCCCACAGTGGCATCAAACTGTTGTTTTTCAAGGTACCTCATGACTTCCTGGAGAATATCCCCCACGCTGTAGCCTTTCTTGGATGCTTTTTCGGCTAGCAAAGGAAGCTTCTTCAGATCCTCCTCATTTCCATGCATGAATGACAGATTTGGCAAATTCAACTGGGAAGCAGCCATCCACTGGAGGATAGCCTGAAGCTCTTTGTTTTGTGAACTGCTGTTGGCATTCTGGCTGGTCACTATCACTTGAAAACCTGAGGATGAACCTGTAAGTGGGTTTCCATTCTGTTTTGATTGTGAAGTTCCCCTGGATGTTGCTTGAGCTTTTGCAGATGAGGCACCAAATGCATTGGGGTCCTCTGATGAGTCACCTATAGCTAAGTCGGCACCACTGCCTTTGACCATGAAGAGAGACAGCTTCATTGCAGATTCCACCAGTTGGTCAATAAATTGCTTGTTGACCTGATCCATATTGTCAAACCGCTCCATGGCTGAATTGGGCTGCTTGGCAACAGCCTGTTTGCTGGACTCGCATTCATTGGCAGGAGCATGCTTTAAGCTCTTATTTGTTTCACTGGAACTGTTTTCTGTATTGAATCCAGCTTCACACAAGACCTTCTGTATGATGGACAAGAGGATACTTGATATGTCTCCCTTTTGGGAGTTGAGCTGCTGTTGGTAATCGTCCCTTGTCCCTGCTGGCCTTGACCCAGAAGTCTCTGCAAGGGACTTGGAACTTTGGCTGTTCCCAGCTTTTTCGAAATGTGAATCCCGAGAAGCATACCCAAATGAAGTGGCACCTGACTCACTAGAGTCCTTGCCATTGTTTGTCTGTTGCAATAGATGTTGTTGTATCAGCATTAAGGCAGTCACAATGAGGTCTTTTGCGTACTTATCCGTTGAGCAGTGCTTTTCTGAAGGCTTGCATGAAGACGATTGGGATTTGTTTCCTCCTTTTTCCTTGTCTTTTCCAGAGCTATGCATTTCACTTTTCATTGCTGTAAACTGCATGGCTTGAGATTTTGGGTCCTGGGACCCTGATTTAAGTGATGTAAATGCTAGACTTTGAGACCTGGATTGTCCTTTATCTTCTGCTAGGATTTGAAAAAGGCGTTTCACCATTGCTTCCAAAATTTCAGTAGATTTCTGGCTCGCTACATTGAATAGATTTTTCTTCACTGTAGCAACAAAATCAGAGTTTGTCATGAGCTCACCTGTAACATTATGCAGATTTTTCATTATTGAGTCTATTAAGTCTGATATAACATCCCTGGTATGTTTGAGGAGTACTTTCTTCAAAATTACACAAGCTGGAAGTGTATGTTTCCCATCTTTTTGGACTTTCGTGCTCTTCAAGAATGAGAACATCATATCTGAAGCAACCTGGTGTGCATAAACCATTAGCCCTTTGCTGACAGAAGTACCAGAATCATCTTGCCTGGAGTTTTTGGCTTGCTGATACATTTGCTTATCTGAAGGTTTTTCTCCTTGTTTGCAGCCCTTTTGATTGGACATCTCGCCATAGAAAAGTGATGTTTTCTTGCAGCCTGAATTATCTTCTCCCTTAGTAGTCCTCTCTTGAAATGCCTTGGGAGATGGAAGCTTACCACAAGCATCTTGTGTGCTTGCTTCAACAGCTTCATTCACCATCTGTGTTGCAATTTTGCTCGCAGAGCCATAGATATTATTTTTCCCTTCATGAGTGGATCCATGAATTGCTTGATGTATACAGTTTTGGGCAGTTCCTTCCAGTTTGTCTGTGATCTCCTTACTTGCCATTTGAGCAACCAAGGAACAGAGTTTATTTACATAGTATGAAACATCATCAGTGTCTCCCTTGTTTCCTTTTTGAGTGCCAGCACACTTTAATGATGTGTCATTGTTCTGGTACAGTGGTGTATTTTTGAAGTTGTCACTACCTTTGTGTTTCTGTGGATTGTCTGAAGGAGCCAGTGCATGCTGGAATCCAACTGCATATTTCTGAAGGTCATTGTTGAGCCAGCTCATAATGCTAAGTTCATCAGTTGAACCTTGTTTAAAAAGACAAATTGCTCCTTCAGTCTTAGAATGATCTTGTTTTTCATTGTCTTTTATTACAATGACCTCCTTTTCCTCCATATTTACTAGATCAAGTTCATTTGAATGGTCAGAGATGCTGCTGGACTGGCTTGCAGCTTTCTTTGCTTTTGGATCGTTGTCTTTTAAATTCAGGCTGGAGATGTCAACAAAAGCGATCACTTTACGGTCCTGGTCCGTCTGTCCTTCAGGTTTGTATAAGTCTACTTTACAAAGGCCTGCCTGGCTGTGTAGCCAGTCAACTTCCTGAGACATCTTTGCAGGTTGATGATGGAACTGTACCCAGGACCGTAAAGTGTCCTTCTGTCAGCTGAGCTGCAGCGATGACCCTGCCAGTCTCGATGTTACCTCTTCTCTCAACTCCCCATGCTCTTTTGCTGCCAGATTTGATGTTCATTGTGTTGCCCTTTGGTTTCTATAGCAGCACTGACATCACAAAGATTCAGTTTCACCAACGGCTAGTGATGTGTTGGCCCTGGTTCAGCATTCACCGTTATCCTGGTCTTTGCCTTAGGTTGTAATAAATCTATTTCCTTGGGTTTTGGAGGGTGTTTTCAGATGGGACTGGAGAAGTGAGGGTATGGGAAATCTGTTTCCCTTTCCTCTCTGTCCTCATCTCCCAACCCGTGATTTAAAAATGAGGTGGCAACAACTCTTACTAAACTATTCTTTGGGATATACAGTTAACGCAATGATAGTTTAGCACAGTTTGGTTTCTGGTTAGAAGAGGGAGTTTGGTAAGCAGTTTGGTCTTACAGTCCAAGCTCTGCATTGAATTCAATAGGCTGTCATATACAAGCTGGGCAAGATCATCAATAAAAAAATTAAAAAATAAAGGACTACTTTATTAAGTATCTTAGCAGAGCTCAAAAAATAACTATGCAACTACTAGCAACAGCATGAAGAATAGCTCAGCAACAGTCTATAATGGCGGAACAAAACACCTCTAGGTGTGAGAAACTTGTTTCTCTCTCTTTGCCATGTTTTGTCTTCTAATTTTTCCCTAGTGCTTTCCCTTTTTCTTTCAGTCTTACAAATATAGAATCTGCCCTTTTTTTCCTTTGCTCCTCTACCTCTTGAAATAAAACCCCCAAAAAAACAGTGATAGTGCAAATAAGATGTAAAACCTGGTTCATGCAAACTTTCCTAAAACTCTTGCTAGTACACTGTTGAAAAATCCTAGAACCATAGCAATTACATGTGGAAAGGATTTTTTAAATTGTTTGATGAACCTCTT